TCTCTCTCCCCGTCTCTCTCCCCGTGTCTCTATCCCCGTGTCTCTTTCCCCGTGTCTCTCTCCCCGTGTCCCTCTTCCCCTGTCTCTCTCTCCCCGTGTCTCTCTCCCTGTGTCTCTCTATCTGTGTCTCTCTCCCCGTGTCTCTCTCCCCGTGTCTCTCTCCCCGTGTCTCTCTCCTCGTGTCTCTCTCTCCCCGTGTCTCTCTCCCTGTATCTCCCTGTGTCTCTCTATCCGTGTCTCTCTCCCCGTGTCTCTCTCCCCGTGTCTCTCTCCTCGTGTCTCTCTCTCCCCGTGTCTCTCTCCCTGTATCTCCCCGTGTCTCTCTCCCCGTGTCTCTCTCCCCGTGTCTCTCTCCCCGTCTCTCTCCCCGTGTCTCTCTCCCTGTCTCTCTCCCCGTGTCTCTCTCCCCGTGTTTCTCTCCCCGTGTCTCTCTCTCCCCGTGTCTCTCACCGTGTCTCTCCCCGTGTCTCTCTCCCCGTGTCTCTCTCCCCGTGTCTCCCCGTGTCTCTCTTCCCGTGTCTCCCTGTCTCTCTCCCCGTGTCTCTCTCCCCGTGTCTCTCTCCCCGTGTCTCTCTCCCCGTGTCTCTCTCCCCGTGTCTCTCACCGTGTCTCTCCCCATGTCTCTCTCCCCGTGTCTCTCTCCCCGTGTCTCTCTCCCCGTGTCTCTCTCCCCGTGTCTCTCTCCCCGTCTCTCTCCCCGTGTCTCTCTCCCCGTGTCTCTCTCCCCGTGTCCCTCCCCGTGTCTCTCTCCCCGTCTCTCTCCCCGTGTCTCTCTCCCTGTGTCTCTCTCCCTGTGTCTCTCTCCCCGTGTCTCTCCCCGTGTCTCTCTCCCTGTGTCTCTCTCCCCGTGTCTCTCTCCCTGTGTCTCTCTCCCCGTGTCTCTCTCCCCGTGTCTCTCCCCCAGTGTCTCTCTCCCCGTATCTCCCCGTGTCTCTCTATCCGTGTCTCTCTCCCCGTGTCTCTCTCTCCCTGTGTCTCTCTCCCTGTGTCTCTCTATCCGTGTCTCTCTCCCCGTGTCTCTCTCCCCGTGTTTCTTTCCCCGTGTTTCTCTCCTCGTGTCTCTCTCTCCCCGTGTCTCTCTCCCTGTATCTCCCCGTGTCTCTCTCCCCGTGTCTCTCTCCCCGTGTCCCTCTCCCCGTGTCTCTCTCTCCCCGTGTCTCTCCCCGTGTCTCTCTCCTCGTGTCTCTCTCTCCCCGTGTCTCTCTCCCTGTATCTCCCCGTGTTTCTCTCCCCGTCTCTCTCCCCGTGTCTCTCTCCCCGTGTCTCTCTCCCCGTGTTTCTCTCCTCGTGTCTCTCTCTCCCCGTGTCTCTCTCCCTGTATCTCCCCGTGTCCCTCTCCCCGTGTCTCTCTCCCCGTGTCTCTCTCCCCGTGTCTCTCTCCCCGTTGGTGCCAGACGGTAACACTGTGGTGAGCAGCAGTGCCATGGGGGTTGTGGAAATTTCAGTTGGCCATTCCCCTCGTGGCGTTTGCAGCCACCACAGCGGCCAGAGGGGGCTCTGGCCGGTTACAAGGGGCCGGTTACCCCTCCACCTTCAAGTCCAGTACCACAAAACCACAAAATAAAAATCTGTTTAAGCTTATGCCGAAGGCCCGGGGGGGACAGGCGTCCGTGACGTCTCCTGGCCAAACCCCAATTGGCGGAGCCAGGAGATTGAATCTTTACCCTCGGGGCTCCTCCAGAAACAGCAAAAACAAACTGCGGGTGGCCACATAGGATTTTTTGAACGCTCACTACGGAGGAGAGGCTGCCACTCCTCTGTCGGGAGCTGGATCGGTACCGCCTGGATCTCTGTGGTGTTCAGGAGATCCGGTTGACCGGCTCTGGCTCCTGCCACCATGAGGGGTGGACAGTCCTCTACTCGAGACTGCCAAACAACAGGGTGTGGCTCTTCTTCTGAACAAAAGAATGAAGGGGACGTGGGAGCGTGGCGTTGAGGTGTGGGAAGCTGTAAGCCCCAGGCTACTTTGGGCTCGCCTTCCTATCAACAAGAGGCGAGGAATGGTGGTCGTGGTTACTTATGCCCCCACTGAAGATGAACATCCGTGGAGGGATGCAGGCAAGGCCGATGAGTCAGATGCCTTCTATGACTTCCTGTCACTGGTGCTGGCTAAAGTGGCCCCTCGGGATAGAGTCATCTTGTTGGGTGACTTCAATGCCCGAGTTGGTCATGATGCTGGCACCTGGTCTGGGGTGATTGGAAGGCATGGGCCAGATGAGCTCAATAACAACGGTAGAAGGCTGCTTGATTTTTGTGCAGCCCATGGGCTTGTAATTACCAACACGCTGTTCCGGCATCGGCGCATCGACACAAGATCATGGATGCATGCTGGGTCCAAGCAAGAACATCTGCTGGACTACATAGTGACGGAACAGCGGATGCGGGACCATGTCCTTGACACCAGGAGCACACTGACCATCGACTAGTCATCTGTAAGATGCACCTGCCATTTGTCCACTCCGGTGATGGGTGCACACCCAGGACCCCATTAAAACCCATAGTGGCCTGGCCTTAGCTAGCTGATGAAAGTTGAAAGTGAGAATGTAATCATCGCTTGCGGCTGGGGTTGGCATCATCCCCCACTCCTCCTGATGTCGAGGGGAAATGGGCGAGGTTTAGGACTGTGGCTCATGCAGCTGCAATTGTTGCTTTATACACATGGTCCAGACCTCCTCAGAGACCTTGGCTGACAGAGGAGGATGAGAAAAAGCGACAGGTCCACTCTCATCGTCTACAGCATCCCACGTCAGAGAATGAGGAGGCTTACCGCAGCCTTCGCTCGGAGGTTCGGAGAGCCGTGAGGCGCTGCAAGGATGGGTGGTGGTCGCGGGTTGCTGAGGAGATGGAATCTGCCTCAGTGGCCCGCAATCACAAATCGCTCTTTAATTCCATGAAAAAGTAACTTGCAGGAACAGGTTTGCAGATTTGCTGAGCATTTCTTTGAAGTCCTAGGGGAGGGGAAATCCCTCAGCCTGGGGCAAAGTGGGGATGACCCAGCTGAGGCTGCGGTGCCTCAAATATTGGAAGAAGTCACACCCTGTGAGTGGCTGACTGAGGTGCCATCTATTGAGGAAGTACTAAAGGCGATCCGGAGTCTGAGACCATGAAAGGCACCGGGTAGAGATGATCTCCCAAGTGAAATGCTGAGGGAGGGTGGCGTTTGTGCACAGACTGCCCTACATGACATAATAACAGCAGTCTGGACCACTGGACGAGTTCCGCGGGATTGGAAGGATGCCCTGGTGGTCCCCCTTTTTAAGAAGGGGGACCGCACAGACTGTAACTACTACAGCGGCATCTCACTCCTCAGTGTGCCGGGAAAGGTCCTGGCAAGGATTATTCAACATCGCCTTGCCAGGCACGCTGAGGAGAGGCTTGCGGAGCCGCAATGTGGTTTCAGGAAAGGGCGGTCCTGCACAGATGCCATATTTTCTGTCCGTCTGCTATAGCAGAGAATTCCAATAAGACCTACACCTCTGCTTTATTGACCTGGTCAAGGTCTATGATACCATCAGTAGGCCTGGGCTCTGGGTTGTTCTTCGTGCTTTCAGAGTCCCTGACCCTCTGCTCACAATCATTAAGGACCTTCATGATGGTGAGCAGGCCCAGGTAATACTATGTGGCCGGGAGTCGGAGCCATTCCCTGTTCACCTTGGGGTGCGACAAGGATGTCCTCTGGCTCCCACGTTATTTAACATCTATTTCGAGCATGTAGTTCGTGATGCCTTCAATAGCTGTACCGGAGGAATTTCCATCTGGTACAGATACAATGGGAGGCTGATCGATGCCCGGGTGTGGTCAAGGGATGGCTCCCTATTGCTCAACCATGTTACGTATGCCGATGATCTGGGAATTGCTGCTCACTCAGAGGAGGATTGGAGGCGCTGCTGCTGAACCTGGAGCTTGCCACTAAGAGGTGGGGATTTACCATCAGCCCCACCAAAACTAAGCACCTGCCTGGGTATTTTGTACCATCGGACACTCCACCCCCACAATTCCCAATTGGTGATGGGGCAGTTTTGGAGAGAGTGGAGAATTCTCATACCTGGGCAGTATGTTTATGACCGGCTCGGTTTGACAGCAGAGGTCTCACTCCAAATCAGTCGAGCAGCATTATATTTTCATCAGTTGCGTAACGCTGTGTGGAAGCTACCTGGTCTGTCGCTCCGCACTAAGCTTCAGGTCTTCTCGGCCACGGTCATTCCCTCCATTCTCTACGCTTGCGAAACGTGGACCCCCCTAATGGAACATCTTCGTCGGTTAGAAACATTTAGGCTGGCCTGCCTAGCATCCATCCTGGGTTTAACCAGGCTGGATTGTGTGAGGAGCTCACAAATCCTTGATAGATCTGAAAAAATCCCATTGGTGAGCTCCTCCGGCAGGCAAGGCTGCGTTGGCTGGGTCACGTAGCCCGCATGCCCAGCCACCGCATGTCCAAACAGCTTTTGTTCGGCCGGATAGAGGGGGCTAAACGGGCACGGCACGGGCTAGAGAAGAGATGGAGTGATGTGACACAGGAGGACGTGGAGCTGAGTGGACTTGCCGATGACTGGTACCAGCGGTGTCAAGATCGGCCTCTGTGGACGAGGCTCGTGAAGGACGCTGCTACTGGGCAGTTGGAGGTAGTCGCCCTCCAATAACAACGGAGGGCGGAGGAGCGACGCTCACAACAATGAGCGGAGCGCCGGGTGGCTAAAGCACAGCAGGTTGGCACTGTAGGGGGCACAGGTGGTGCATCAGCCAGTCATCTCAGTCAGTCGACCCGTGGCACCTGGGTCTGCCCCGTGACCTCCTGCCAGCGGGCGTTCGACACTCTTACGTGGCCTCAGGGTGCACATAGCCTGGCACAAGCGTCGTGGCGAATGGCGGTTGTTGTTGTTGTTTGACGTGAGCTTCTGCATCCTGCCTCTCTCTCCCTCTCTCTCTGTCTCCGTGTCTATATCTATTGTCTCTGTGTCTCTCTATGTCTCTGTGTCTTATCTCCCCGCGTGTCTGTTTAGGTGTGGGTGAGGTTCGACATTAGCTTCTACCTCCTGGCCGGCGCCGGCGCCGCGTCGATCGTGGCCACGGCCGTCAACCTCCTCCGTTCGTACCCCAGCCCCGAGGAGGAGCAGGCGCTGCAGCTGCTGCAGCACATGGAGGAAGCACAGCCCACGGACTTCGTGACGGGGCCGGCGGGAGACGGAGTGGCCGGGCTCACGGTGACCAGGCCACCGCCACCCGCCTACAGCCCCTAGTGGAGAGACGCACGGAGAGAGACGCACGGAGAGAGAGACGCACGGAGAGAGACGCACGGAGAGAGACACAGAGACACACGGAGAGAGACACAGAGAGACACACGGAGAGAGACACAGAGACGCACGGAGAGAGACGCACGGAGAGAGAGACGCACGGAGAGATACGCACGGAGAGAGACGCACGGAGAGAGACGCACGGAGAGAGACACACGGAGAGAGACGCACGGAGAGAGACGCACGGAGAGAGACGCACGGAGAGAGACGCACGGAGAGAGACGCACGGAGAGAGACGCACGGAGAGAGACGCACGGAGAGAGACACACGGAGAGAGACACAGAGAGAGACACAGAGAGAGACACAGAGAGAGACACACGGAGAGAGACACAGAGAGAGACACGGAGAGAGACACAGAGAGAGATGCACGGAGAGAGACACAGAGCGAGACACACGGAGAGAGACGCACGGAGAGAGACGCACGGAGAGAGACGCACGGAGAGAGACGCACGGAGAGAGACGCACGGAGAGAGACGCACGGAGAGAGACGCACGGAGAGAGACGCACGGAGAGAGACGCACGGAGAGAGACGCACGGAGAGAGACGCACGGAGAGAGACGCACGGAGAGAGACGCACGGAGAGAGACGCACGGAGAGAGACACACGGAGAGAGACACAGAGAGACACACGGAGAGAGACACAGAGAGAGACACAGAGAGAAACACACGGAGAGAGACACAGAGAGAGACACACGGAGAGAGACACAGAGAGACACACGGAGAGAGACACAGAGAGAGACACAGAGAGAGACACACGGAGAGAGACACAGAGAGAGACACACGGAGAGAGACACAGAGAGAGATACACGGAGAGAGACACAGAGAGAGACACACGGAGAGAGACACAGAGACACACGGAGAGAGACACACGGAGAGAGACACACGGAGAGAGACACACGGAGAGAGACACACGGAGAGAGACACAGAGAGAGACACAGAGAGAGACACATGGAGAGAGACACTCACACACACAGAGACAAAGACACACGGAGACACAGAGAGAGACACACGGAGAGAGACACACAGGGAGACCCTCACACACACAGACACAGAAACACGGAGACACAGAGAGAGACACGGAGACAAACGGAGACACACAGAGACACACAGAGAGACACAGAGACACACAGAGAGACACGGAGACACACGGAGAGACACGAGACACACAGAGACACACAGAGAGACACGGAGACACAGAGAGACACACGGAGACACACGGAGACACACGGAGACACACAGGGAGACACGGAGGATGTCCGTAGGCTGTAGACATCCTCTCCTCCCTCCCCCATTAGCTGTGCTTCATTTTAAATATATGTTTGCGTTTCTCTTCAGTCCTTTTTTTACGCTGCATTGTGAACACACACACCACGGCACGTGTGTGTGTATACGTGTGTGTGTGTGTACATGTGTGTGTACGTGTGTGTGTGTACATGTGTGTACGTGTGTACATGTGTGTGTACGTGTGTGTACGTGTGTGTGTGTACAGTGAGTGAAAAAAAGTATTTGATCCCCTTCTGATCTTGTACGTTTGCCCACTGACTAAGAAATGATCAGTCTATAATTTTAATGGTAGGTTTATTTGAACAGTGAGAGACAGAATAACAACAAAACAATCCAGAAAAACGCATGTCAAAAATGTTATAAATTTATTTTCATTTTAATGAGGGAAATAAGTATTTGACCCCTCTGCAAAACATGACTTAGTACTTGGTGGCAAAACCCTTGTTGGCAATCACAGAGGTCAGACGTTTCTTGTAGTTGGCCACCAGGTTTGCACACATCTCAAGAGGGATTTTGTCCCACTCCTCTTTGCAGATCTTCTCCAAGTCATTAAGGTTTCGAGGCTGACATTTGGCAACTCGAACCTTCAGCTCCCTCCACAGATTTTCCATGGGATTAAGGTCTGGAGACTGGCTAGGCCACTCCAGGACCTTAATGTGCTTCTTCTTGAGCCACTCCTTTGTTGCCTTGGCCGTGTGTTTTGGGTCATTGTCATGCTGGAATACCCATCCACGACCCATTTTCAATGCCCTTGCTGTGGGAAGGAGGTTCTCACCCAAGATTTGACGGTACATGGCACGTCCATCGTCCGTTTGATGCGGTGAAGTTGTCCTGTCCCCTTAGCAGAAAAACACCCCCAAAGCATAATGTGTTCCACCTCCATGTTTGACGGTGGGGATGGTGTTCTTGGGGTCATAGGCAGCATTCCTCCTCCAAACACTGCGAGTTGAGTTGATGCCAAAGAGCTACATTTTGGTCTCATCTGACCACAACACTTTCACCCAGTTGTCCTCTGAATCATTCAGATGTTCATTGGCAAACTTCAGACGGGCATGTATATGTGCTTTCTTGAGCAGGGGTACCTTGCGGGTGCTGCAGGATTTCAGTCCTTCACAGCGTAGTGTGTTACCAATTGTTTTCTTGGTGACTATGGTCCCAGCTGCCTTGAGATCATTGACAAGATCCTCCCGTGTAGTTCTGGGCTGATTCCTTACCGTTCTCATGATCATTGCAACTCCACGAGGTGAGATCTTGCATGGAGCCCCAGGCCGAGGGAGATTGACAGTTCTTTTGTGTTTCTTCCATTTGCGAATAATCGCACCAACTGTTGTCACCTTCTCACCAAGCTGCTTGGCAATGGTCTTGTAGCCCATTCCAGCCTTGTGTAGGTCTACAATCTTGTCTCTGACATCCTTGGAGAGCTCTTTGGTCTTGGCCATGGTGGAGAGTTTGGAATCTGATTGATTGATTGCTTCTGTGGACAGGTGTCTTTTATACAGGTAACAAGCTGAGAATAGGAGCACTCCCTTTAAGAGTGTGCTCCTAATCTCAGCTCGTTACCTGTATAAAAGACACCTGGGAGTCAGAAATCTTTCTGATTGAGAGGGGGTCAAATACTTATTTCCCTCATTAAAATGCAAATCAATTGATAACATTTTTGACATGCGTTTTTCTGGATTTTTTTGTTGTTATTCTGTCTCTCACTGTTCAAATAAACCTACCATTAAAATTATAGACTGATCATTTCTTTGTCAGTGGGCAAATGTACAAAATCAGCAGGGGATCAAATACTTTATTCCCTCACTATGTGTGTGTGTACGTGTGTGTGTACGTGTGTGTGTGTACATGTGTGTGTACGTGTGTGTTTCCAGAAACAACGAAAAGCCACTACGGATGGCCACGTGGAATGTTCAAACGCTCACTGCGGAGGAGAGGCTGCCACTCCTCTGTCGGGAGCTGGACCGGTACCGCCTGGATCTCTGTGGCATGCAGGAGGTCCAGTGGACCGGTTCTGGCTCCTGCCACCATGAGGGGTGGACAGTCCTCTACTCGGGGCAGCAGACTGCCAAACAACAGGGTGTGGCTCTTCTTTTGAACAAAAGAATGAAGGGGGCGTGGGAGCGTGGCGGTGAGGTGTGGGAAGCTGTAAGCCCCAGGCTACTTTGGGGCTCGCCTTCCCATCAACCGGAGGCGAGGAGTGGTGGTCATGGTTACTTAAGCCCCCACCGAAGACGAACATCCGTGGAGGGATGCAGGCAAAGCCGATGAGTCAGATGCCTTCTTTGACCTCCTGTCACAGGTGCTGGCTGAAGTGGCACCTCATGTTTGGTGACTTCAATGCCCGAGTTGGTCATGAGGCTGGCACCTGGTCTGGAGTGATTGGAGGGCATGGGCCAGATCAGCTCAATAACAACGGTAGGAGGCTGCTAGATTTTTGTGCAGCCCATGGGCTTGTAATTACCAACACGCTGTTCCGGCATCGGCGCATTCACACAATTTCATGGATGAATGCCGGGTCCAAGCAAGAACATCTGCTGGACTACATAGTGACGGACCAGCGGATGCGAGCCCATTTCCTTGACACCAGGACCTTCCGTGGAGCTGATCTGCCCTCTGACCATCGACTAGTCATCTGTAAGATGCACCTTCCATTCTTCCACTCCGGTGGTGGGTGTACACCCAGGACCCCATTCCAACCTAAAGTGGCCTGGTCTCAGTTATCTGATGAAAGTTGCAAGCGAGAATTTCATCATCACCTGCGGCTGGGGTTGGCATCGTCCCCCACTCCTCCTGATGTTAAGGGTAAATGGGCGAGGTTTAGGATTGTGACTCATGCAGCTGCAATGGCTGCTTTGGGTACGCGGTCCAGACCTCCCCAGAGACCCTGGTTGACAGAGGAGGTGTTTAGGATGGTTGAGAAAAAGCGACAGGCCCACTGTCATCGGCTACAGAATCCCACGTCAGAGAATGAGGAGGCTTACCGCAGCCTTCGCTCAGAGGTTCGGAGAGCCGTGAGGCGCTGCAAGGATGGGTGGTGGTTGCGAGTTGCTGAGGAGATGGAGTCTGCCTCAGTGGCCCACGATCACAAATCTCTATTTAACTCCATCAAAAAAGTAACCTGCAGCACCACACCTATTACCATCATTAGGGGAAAAAACGGTGATCCAATCTCCGACCCCCAGGAACAGGTTTGCAGATTTGCTGAGCATTTCTGTGAGGTCCTGGGGGAGGGAAAATCCCTCAACCATGAAAACATCGTGGCACAAAGTGAGGATGACTCTGCTGAGGCTGCGGTGCCTCAAATATTGGAAGAAGTCACCCCCTGTGAGTGGCTGGCTGAGGTGCCATCTGTTGAGGAAGTACTGAAGGCGATCCGGAGTCTGAGACCAGGAAAGGCAGCGGGCAGAGATGATCTCCCAAATGAAATGCTGGGGGAGGGTGGCGTTTGTGCACAGACTGCCCTATATGACATCATAACAACAGTCTGGACCACTGGACGGGTTCCGCAGGATTGGAAGGATGCCCTGGTGGTCCCCCTCTTTAAGAAGGGGGACCGCACAGACTGTAACTACAGGGACATCTCACTCCTCAGTGTGCCGGGAAAGGTCCTGGCAAGGATTATTCAACATCGCCTTGCCAGGCACGCTGTAGAGAGGCTTGCGGAGCCCCAGTGCGGTTTCAGGAAAGGGCGGTCCTGCACAGATGCCATATTTTCTGTCCGTCTGCTACAGCAGAGGTGTAGGAAATTCCAGCAAGACCTACATCTCTGCTTTATTGACCTGGTCAAG